ACGCTGAGGACAAGGTTCCTCACGCTGAGGAGAAGGTTCCTGACGCTGTGGACAAGGTTCCTGACGCTCAGGACAAGGTTCCTGACGCTGAGGACAGGGTTCCTCACGCTGAGGACATGGTTCCTCACGTTGAGGACAAGGTTCCTCACGCTGAGAACAAGGTTCCTCACGCTGAGTACAAGGTTCCTCACGCTGAGGACAAGGTTCCTGGCGCTGCGGACAAGGTTCCTGGCGCTGAGGACAAGGTTCCTGGCGCTGAGGACAAGGTTCCTCACGTTGAGGACAAGGTTCCTCACGCTGAGGACAAGGTTCCTCACGCTGAGGACAAGGTTCCTGATGCTGTGGACAAGGTTCCTGACGCTCAGGACAAGGTTCCTGACGCTGAGGACAGGGTTCCTGACGCTGAGGACATGGTTCCTCACGTTGAGGACAAGGTTCCTCACGCTGAGAACAAGGTTCCTCACGCTGAGTACAAGGTTCCTCACGCTGAGGACAAGGTTCCTGGCGCTGAGGTCAAGGTTCCTGGCGCTGAGGACAAGGTTACCGGCGCTGAGGTCAACGTTCCTGGCGTGGAGGACAAGGTTCCTGGCGCTGAGGTAAGGTTCCCGGCGCTAAGGACAAGGTTCCTCACGCTGAGGACAAGGTTCCTCATGCTGAGGACAAGGTTCCTCACGCTGAGGACAAGGTTCCTCACGCTGAGGACAAGGTTCCTCACGCTGAGGACAAGGTTCCTCATGCTGAGGACAAGGTTTCTGGCGCTGAGGACAAGGTTCTTGGCGCTGAAGACAAGGTTCCTGGCACTGAGGACAAGGTTCCTGACGCTGAGGACAAGGTTCCTGACGCTGAGGACAAGGTTCCTCACGCTGAGGACAAGGTTCCTCACGTTGAGGACAAGGTTCCTCACGCTGAGGACAAGGTTCCTGGCGCTGAGGTCAAGGTTCCTGGCGCTGAGGACAAGGTTCCTGGCGCTGAGGACAAGGTTCCTGGCACTGAGGACAAGGTTCCTGACGCTGAGGACAAGGTTCCTGACGCTGAGGACAAGGTTCCTCACGCTGAGGACAAGGTTCCTCACGCTGAGGACAAGGTTCCTGACGCTGTGGACAAGGTTCCTGACGCTCAAGACAAGGTTCCTGACGCTGAGGACAGGGTTCCTGACGCTGAGGACATGGTTCCTCACGTTGAGGACAAGGTTCCTCACGCTGAGAACAAGGTTCCTCACGCTGAGGACAAGGTTCCTCACGCTGAGGACAAGGTTCCTGGCGCTGAGGACAAGGTTCCTGGCGCTGAGGACAAGGTTCCTCACGCTGAAGACAAGGTTCCTCACGCTGAGGAAAAGGTTCCTCACGTTGAGGACAAGGTTCCTCACGCTGAGGACAAGGTTCCTCACGCTGAGGACAAGGTTCCTCACGTTGAGGACAAGGTTCCTCACGCTGAGGACAAGGTTCCTCACGCTGACGACAAGGTTCCTCACGCTGAGGACACGCGCGGAGGTTGTCGTACATTCTCGTCACTCATACTTGTAAGTTATGATGTAGTTTTTAACTGTCAGGTAGAGAAATGAGACAACTTAAAGCGTAGATACTGTAGTTTTCCGTGAATTTGCTTTTTTAAGGCTTTTTTTTCGTTTTGAAACGTGATCCATGCCCCCCCCCCCGCCCCCTTTTCATCCTTTTATTTTCGAGTGGTGAAAACAATATTCGCGCGGCCGTGTAATATCCTCTATATATGGCAATACAATGACGAGTCTGCATACATAATGAGTTACACAATAAAGCGCTAGTCAGACGAACTTTATGCGGATTTTTAAATGTTTTTAACGCGTTTTTAAGTGAATACATATATTTACTGGGTTGTCTATGCTAGTATCCGAGTTATAGAAAATACTACCCGAAGAGATAAAATTTATACCAAAAATGACGTCATTGTCGTTGCTATAGTAATCATGACGTTTCAGTATGTCCGATGTTTTGCTTCAGTGACCTCGATTTTTCATTTTGTCAGAAGGTATAACTGAAAATAGTTAATTAGCCATCTTTTTAAAAAGGTCGCCAGTGTAGAAAATGTTGTTTCAAATTTTAAAAATCTACACTGGTAATGTTTTTAAAAGTTGGCTAAAATAATTTTTTTCATTAATAGAACGATTGACAAAATTAAAAATTTTGTCACCGTTCTTTTCTCGAATTAGTTTAAAGCCAAAGAAAAGCTGCCATATTACAACGTCATGGTCGCCATGGCAACGAGAGTTTTGGGAGGCGTTAATCTGGCTTAATTAAAGAGTCAATAGGGCCATTTATACGGAACAAAATAAGATGCGACTTAGATAAGATGCGACTTAGGTAAGACGCGAGTTTGTCGTATAAAAGGTACAAAATTCTTATGTAAGACGCGTCTTGGATAAGACGCGTCTTACATAAGAACAGGTCTTTTAGCTGTTCTTATTTAAGTCGCGTCTTAAATAAGAAATTTTGGACAAAAAGTCTAACTACACATGCCAGAAACTTGAAACAACGTAAAATTTAATGCCTAGCATATTAAAACAAAAACAACCAAAACAGCATTATAGCTATAGCAAATAAATAAGACCAAAGCCGAAAGCCGTCTTGTGCAAGTCGCGACTTATTTTATCACGTATAAATGGCCCTATTGTCAACCACAATGCATTTGTTTACATCTTTACCTTCGGAAGTGAGAAATAGCAACAAATGAAGATTATAAACATTTCTTTGGTGCAATTTTAGTATAAAAAAGTTAAAATTAGCAAGTATAACCACAGGATGGTAGTAATATATTATGGATTGAAAACGGAAACATCTATTATTCCGCCATTAAAATGGTCGCCAAGCAGGTTTGGCGCGCAATGCATTGTGGTTGACAATGACTCTTTAATTTTCATCCATCAACTTCTAAAGTCAGATGCAATATATCGCGTAAATTAATTTACGAGAAAAAAACAAACAACTCACCATCTTCTGCCGTTTAGCCACGGTTTATCTTGACTTTGATGGATTCACTACCGGGAATTAAAAATTGCTCATTAATTTTTAGATATTTTAAATAAAATAGCGACCTTTTTGGAGATAAATTAAGGCTGTGTTTTGTAGAAAGGGAGGAGGGGGACCTGTAATATAATTTCAGATGTGTGTGTGAATTTTTATCCAACAGTGGTATATTTAGCCGGAAAAATTTTGCAATGGAACACTATACTGTATCATTTGATAATAATTATCATGTTGTGTATTGAAATGTATGCAATGAACGAGTTTTTAGGTAACATTTTTTAAGAAAAATAAAAATAAGTGAAACATAATGGCTATATGCATTAAGAGTAGTTATATAATAACTTACAGGGTAACACATATAACATGTTGTTGACTTCCAACACCATTGAAGCAGTTTCGTTTCATTTTCTTGATTGGAGAAGAAGACGTCCGCCATCTTGTCTTTGACCACCATGATTTAACATTGAAATTTCTCAATAATTTCTTCATCATTCCTCTTCCAATTTGGCCCAAAATTTAACAAAACGTCCATTATGGTCTCGTCGCAATTTCTGTAGCATTTAATTGACTTCTTCTTTTTTATTTTGGCAGAAAATAAAGCGGAATTTTGGCTTGGTTTTCCTCGATTTTTTGAGATGTCGTTCATCGAAGCCATGCTGTAACTGACGTCACAAAGCATTTGATTCATGGTATATATATCCCGTATGTACAAAATTGAAGTTTCGGTATTCCTGTCTACGAAGCTATAAAGCTTAATTTCTAGCTTAAATTGACGGTTTTTAGCCACAACTTTCAACTCAGATACTTCTTATATTTCTTCCTTTATAGTTATTTTTTTATTTCGCTCAAAAAACGCTCCTGGAGAGCGTTTGGGCGTGTTTTTTTGTTTGTTTGCATGCTAATTAATGCGGAAAGACATGTCCGATTTGTCGGTTGAGTTTAACTTTTCCTCCGTGGCCGAATGGTAACGGCAACTGTATTGGGAAAAGCCACGCCCTTTGGTGTTTGCTGTGGATCGTCCCTCGCTTGCGACAACACAGGGACGAACCTAAAGGGTGTGAGTGACTCTCGAAAACAGTTGCCGGTACCGATAGGCTACTGAAGGAACGTTTAAACCTGCAGTAAATTTCTTCTACTTAATCATTTACCTTATGCTTGCCAGCCGGGGACCTGCATTTCGGGGGCCACCCAAAACAACAAGCTGCCGTGCAAGAAGGGCAATACAATTGCAGTGTAACACTACAACTGTACTGTCCTTCGTGCACGACAGCGAGTCGTTTTGGGCTAAACGACTAGATTTGTAGGACAAATCTAGTCGTTTTTCAAAAACGACTAGATTTGTCGTACTATATAGGGCCGATTTCGTTGCAATGATTGTGGTGCACTATATTTTCTTGCTTCTGCGCAGTCGTATCTTCTTGAATAAAGTTGTATATATGGTACTCAAAATTTGTCCTTGAAAGGACCATGTATTCGCGTGGTTCCGGGTTAGATTCCCAGAGCATTTTATGTACTTATATACAACTTTCTTAGCGCAACTCCATGCACGCTATGGAGAAGCTTATGATGTAACTTATCATGGCCGACATACCAATGACAGTAGTTTTATATAGAAGATGAAATGTACAATAAACCGCAAGGTTTCTTACTGAACCAGGAATTGACCGAATACTGTTGTAATCACCTAGTCACAACAACGTTAAAGTTATGGCTGTTTTTTCGATCACATGCAACGAAGCTTTAAATGACATTATCAACAGTGTCCTCGATAGAAGTAATCTATGAGGCATTCGGTTTAAAATTCCCAGAGCATGTCCGCACCATTTCGCAACTTACGATACAACTTATTACGGACGATAAACTAATAATTGAGAGCGAAGTGTAAATGAAGCTAGAAGGTTTAATCTTTGTATAGGAGGTAAGATAATATTCCAGAGCATGTTTTTTGTGATATTAAACCGTGACAAATTACAATACTGCATGAGTTATCCTGTTTACCGCAAACTCTGTATATAGAAGTAAAGTTGAACATAGCTAAATTTCAAACTGAACACTCGTTTTAATCCAGATGCTTATAAACTCAAATGTCTCATAAAAGCTCGGATACACATTACACCGTAGTTTACTGCATGTATAATATAGTCTTTAAAGTAAAGTAAAGTAAAGAAAAGTAAAGCTATACTATATAGCTATAGTTAAATTTCAAAATGAACACTCATTTTACTCGAGGCGTTTAGTTAACGCCGTTTGAATACAATGAGTGTTCATATTGAAATTTAACTATACCTGCATGTATCGTCTAGATTTACCTTACTATTAAGCCTGCAGCACACGAGAGCTATCTGCTGAGCAAAAAGTTACTCGTTCCTGTTAGCTCAGCCGATAGCTCACCGTGTGCGGGTACATTTTTCTGAGTTTTATACCTCATGCAACCTTTTCTCACGTATCAAACATGTTTGATCGGTGAGCTATCTGCTGAGCTAACAGACACGAGTAACTTTTTGCTCAGCAGATAGCTCTCGTGTGCTGCAGGCTTTAAAGACTATATCATACATGCTCGATAACTCAAGTATTGCAATTTGTCACGGTTAAATATCACAAGAAACATGCTCCAGAATATTATCTTATCCTCCTATACAAAGATTAAACCTTCTCGCTTAATTCACACTTCGTCCTCAATTACTAGTTTATCGTCCGTATATATAAGTTGTATCGTAAGTTGCGAAATCGTATACACGGAGTTGCACTATTAAATGCCTCGAGTAAAATGTGTGTTCATATTGAAATTTAACTATACCTATATAGTATAGACTATATTATACATGCTCGAAAACTCAAGTATTGTAATTTGCCACGGTTGAATATAACATGAAACATGCACCGGAATATTATCTTATCCTCCTATCCAAAGATTAAACCTTGTAGCTTCATTCACACTTCGTTCACAATTATTAGTTTATCGTCCGTAATAAGTTGTATCGTAAGTTGCGAAATGGTGCGGACTTGCTCTGGGAATCTTAAACCGAATGCCTCATAGATTACTTCTATCGAGGACACTGTTGATAATGTCATTTAAAGCTTCGTTGCATGTGGATCGAAGAAACAGCCATAACTTTTACGTTGTTGTGACTAGGTGATTACAACAGTATTCGGTCAATTCCTGGTACAGTAAGAAACCTTGCGTTTCTTACTGTACCCATACATTAGACTGTACCTGGTACAGAAGAAACCTTGCGTTTCTTACTGTTTCGGAACCCATACATTTCATCTTCTATATAAAACTACTGTCATTGGTATGTCGGCCATGATAACTTACATCATAAGCTTCTCCATAGCTTGCATGGAGTTGCGCTAAGAAAGTTGTATATAAGTACATAAAATGCTCTGGGAGTCTAACCCGGAACCACGCAAGAATACATGGTCCTTTCAAGGACAAATTTTGAGTACCATATACAACTTTATTCAACAAGATACGACTGCGCAGAAGCAAGAAAATATAGTGCACCACAATCATTGCAACGAAATCGGCCCTATATAGTACGACAAATCTAGTCGTTTTTTGGAAAACGACTAGATTTGTCCTACAAATCTAGTTGTTTAGCCCAAAACGACTCGCTGTCGTGCACGAAGGACAGTACAGTTGTAGTGTTACACTGCAATTGTATTGCCCTTCTTGCACGGCAGCTTGTTGTTTTGGGTGGCCCCCGAAATGCAGGTCCCCGGCTGGCAAGCATAAGGTAAATGATTAAGTAGAAGAAATTTACTGCAGGTTTAAACGTTCCTTCAGTAGCCTATCGGTACCGGCAACTGTTTTCGAGAGTCACTCACACCCTTTAGGTTCGTCCCTGTGTTGTCGCAAGCGAGGGACGATCCACAGCAAACACCAAAGGGCGTGGCTTTTCCCAATACAGTTGCCGTTACCATTCGGCCACGGAGGAAAAGTTAAACTCAACCGACAAATCGGACATGTCTTTCCGCACTCATTAGCATGCAAATAAAAAAAACACGCCCAAACGCTCTTCAGGAGCGTTTTTTGAGCGAAATAAAAAAATAACTATAAAGGAAGAAATATAAGAAATATCTGAGTTGAAAGTTGTGGCTAAAAACCCTCAATTTAAGCTAGAAATTAAGCTTTATAGCTTCGTAGACAGGAATACCGAAACTTCAATTTTGTACATACGGGATATACATACCATGAATCAAATGCTTTGTGACGTCAGTTACAGCATGGCTTCGATGAACGACATCTCAAAAAATCGAGGAAAACCAAGCCAAAATTCCGCTTTATTTTCTGCCAAAATAAAAAAGAAGTCAATTAAATGCTACAGAAATTGCGACGAGACCATAATGGACGTTTTGTTAAATTTTGGGCCAAATCGGAATGGGAATGATGAAGAAATTATTGAGAAATTTCAATGTTAAATCATGGTGGTCAAAGACAAGATGGCGGACGTCTTCTTCTCCAATCAAGAAAATGAAACGAAACTGCTTCAATGGTGTTGGAAGTCAACAATATGTTATATGTGTTACCCTGTAAGTTATTATATAACTACTCTTAATGTATAAAGCCATTATGTTTTACTTATTTTACTTTTTACCAACACATTTAATATTTTATCCTATTTTTCTTAAAAAGTGTTACGTAAAAACTCGTTCATTGCATGCATTTCAATACACAACATGATAATTATTATCAAATGATACAGTATAGTGTTCCATTGCAAATTTTTTCCTAAATATAACCCTGTTAGATAAAAATTCACATCTCCCCCCCTGAAATTATATTACAGGTCCCCCTCCCCCCTTTCTACAAAACCCAGCATTAATTTATCTGTAAAATGTCGCTATTTTATTTGTGATATCTAAAAATTAACCAGCTAATTTTTAATTTCCTGTAGTGAATCTATCAAAGCCAAGATAAACGGTGCCAACTAAACAGCAGAAGATGGTGAGTTTTTTGCTGGTAAATTAATTTACGCGATATATTCCATCTGACTTTAGAAGCTGATGGATGAAAATTAAAGAGTCATTGTCAACCACAATGCATTGCGCGCCTAAAGCTGCTTGGCGGCCATTTTAATGGCGTAATAATATATGTTTCGGTTTCAGTCCATATAATATATTACTACCATCCTGTGGTTATACTTGCTAATTTTAACTTTTTTATACTAAAATTGCACCAAAGAAATATTTATAATCTAAATCTTCATTTGTTGCTATTTCTCACTTCCGAAGGTAAAGATGTAAACAAATGCATTGTGGTTGACAATGACTCTTTAACCCAGATCAACGCCTCCCAAAACTCTCGTTGCCATGGAGACCATGGCGTTTTAATATGGCCACTTTTCTTTGGTTTTAAACTAATTCGAGAAATTAAAGAACGGTGACCCTATTTTTTATTTTGTTAACTGATCGCCGTTCGATTAGTGAAAAAAATATTTTAGCCAACTTTTAAAAGCATTACCAGTGTACATTTTTTAGATTTAAAACAACATGTTTTTTTGCAATTAAAAATTTTCTACACTGGCGACCTTTTTAAAAAGATATTAATGGCTGCTAACTCTTGACGAAGGGCCTTCGCTCGAAACGTCGAGTTTCTGCTTATTTATAAGGTAGTAATATAACCACTCAGCACAGCATTTTTTAAAAGGATGGCTCAGTTAAGTATTTTGAGTAATACGTTCTGACAAATGAAAAATCGAGGTCACTGTTGTTTTAATTTTAAGTTAAATTAGTTCAAAAGCAAAACATCGGCCATACTGAAACGTCAAAATTACCATAGCAACGACAATGACGTCATTTTTGGTATAAATTTTATGCTCTTCAGGTAGTATTTTCTATAACTCAGATACTAGCATAGACAACCCAGCAAATATATGTATTCACTTAAAAACGCGTTAAAAACATTTAAAAATACGCATAAAGTTCGTCTGACTTTGTTATATAGCGCTTTATTGTGTAACTCATTATGTATGCAGACTCATCATTGCATTGTACGCCCAGTTTAGACATTGTCCTCAACGTGAGGAACCTTGTCCTCAACGTGAGGAACCTTGTCCTCAGCGCCAGGAACCTTGTCCTCAGCGCCAGGAACCTTGTCCTCAGCGCCAGGAACCTTGTACTCAGCGCCAGGAACCTTGTACTCAGCGCCAGGAACCTTGACCTCAGCGCCAGGAACCTTGTCCTCAGCGTGAGGAACCTTGTCCTCAACGTGAGGAACCTTGTCCTCAGCGTGAGGAACCTTGTCCTCAACGTGAGGAACCTTGTCCTCAGCGTGAGGAACCTTGTCCTCAGCGCCAGGAACCTTGTCCTCAGCGCCAGGAACCTTGTCCTCAGCGCCAGGAACCTTGTCCTCAGCGCCAGGAACCTTGTCCTCAGTGCCAGGAAGCTTGTCCTCAGCACCAGGAACCTTGTCCTCAGCACTAGGAACATTGTCCTCACCGCCGGGAACCAATCCTTACTGCCGCGAACCTTGTCTTCACCGCCGGGAACCTTGTCCTCACCGCCAGGAACCATGTCCTCACCGCCAGGAACCTTGTCCTCAGCGCCAGGAACCTTGTCCTCAGCGCCAGGAACCTTGTCCTCAGCGCCAGGAACCTTGTCCTCAGTGCCAGGAACCTTGTCCTCAGTGCCAGGAACCTTGTCCTCACCGCCAGGAACATTGTCCTCACCGCCAGGAACCTTGTTCTCACCGCCAGGAACATTGTCCTCAGCGCCAGGAACATTGTCCTCAGCGCCAGGAACATTGTCCTCACCGCCAGGAACCTTGTCCTCACCGCCAGCAACCTTGTCCTCACTGCCAGGTACCATGTCCTCAGTGTCAGGAACCTTGTCCTCACCTCCAGGAACCTTGTCCTCAGTGCCAGGAACCTTGTCCTCAGCGCCAGGAACCTTGTCCTCAGCACCAGGAACCTTGTCCTCAGCACCAGGAACCTTGTCCTCAGCACTCGGAACATTGTCCTCACCGCCGGGAACCAATCCTTACTGCCGGGAACCTTGTCTTCACCGCCAGGAACCTTGTCCTCACCGCCAGGAACCTTGTCCTCACTGCCAGGTACCATGTCCTCAGTGTCAGGAACCTTGTCCTCACCTCCAGGAACCTTGTCCTCACCTCCAGGAACCTTGTCCTCAGCGTCAGGAACCTTGTCCTCAGCGCCAGGAACCTTGTCCTCAGCACCAGGAACCTTGTCCTCAGCACCAGGAACCTTGTCCTCAGCACTAGGAACATTGTCCTCACCGCCGGGAACCAATCCTTACTGCCGGGAACCTTGTCTTCACCGCCGGGAACCTTGTCCTCAGCGCCGGGAACCTTGTCCTCACCGCCAGGAACCTTGTCCTCACAGCCAGGAACCTTGTTCTCACCGCCAGGAACATTGTCTTCAGCGCCAGGAACATTGTCCTCACCGCCAGGAACCTTGTCCTCACCGCCAGGAACCTTGTCCTCAGTGCCAGGAACGTTGTCCTCACCGCCAGGAACCTTGTCTTAACCGCCAGGAACCTTGTACTCACCGCCAGGAACCTTGTCCTCAGCGGCAGGAACCTTGTCATCACCGCAGGAACCTTGTCCTCACCGCCAGGAACCTTGTCCTCACCGCCAGGAACCTTGTGCTCACCGCCTGGAACCTTGTCCTCAGCGGCAGGAACCTTGTCCTCAGCGCCAGGAACCTTGTCCTCACCGCCAGGAACCTTGTCCTCACCGCCAGGAACCTTGTCCTCACAGCCAGGAACCTTGTCCTCACCGCCAGGTACCTTGTCCTCAGCGTCAGGAACCTTGTCCTCAGCGCCAGGAACCTTGTCCTCACCGCCAGGTACCTTGTCCTCAGCGTAAGGAACCTTGTCCTCACCTCCAGGAACCTTGTCCTCAGTGGCAGGAACCTTGTGCTCAGTGCCAGGAACCTTGTCTTCACCGCCAGGTACCTTGTCCTCAGCGTCAGGAACCTTGTCCTCACCTACAGGAACCTTGTCCTCAGCGCCAGGAACCTTGTCCTCAGTGCCAGGAACCTTGTCCTCAGTGCCAGGAACCTTGTCCTCACCGCCAGGAACATTGTCCTCACCGCCAGGAAGATTGTCCTCACCGCCAGGAACCTTGTTCTCACCGCCAGGAACATTGTCCTCAGCGCCAGGAACATTGTCCTCAGCGTCAGGAACCTTGTCCTCACCTCCAGGAACCTTGTCCTCAGCACCAGGAACCTTGTCCTCAGCACTAGGAACATTGTCCTCACCGCCGGGAACCAATCCTCACCGCCGGGAACCTTGTCATCACCGGCGGGAACCTTGTCCTCAGCGCCGGGAACCTTGTCCTCACCGCCCGGAACCTTGTCCTCACTGCAAGGAGCCTTGTCCTCAGCGGCAGGAACCTTGTCCTCAGCGCCAGAAACCTTGTCCTCAGCGCCAGGAACCTTGTCCTCAGCGCCAGGAACCTTGTCCTCACTGCCAGGTACCATGTCCTCAGTGTCAGGAACCTTGTCCTCACCTCCAGGAACCTTGTCCTCACCGCCAGGAACTTTGTCCTCAGTGGCAGGAACCTTGTCCTCACCGCCAGGAACCTTGTCCTCACCGCCAGGAACCTTGTCCTCACCGCCAGGAACCTTGTCCTCAGTGCCAGGAACGTTGTCCTCACCGCCAGGAACCTTGTCCTCATCGCCAGGAACCTTGTCCTCAGCGCCAGGAACCTTGTCCTCAGCGCCAGGAACCTTGTCCTCACCGCCAGGAACCTTGTCCTCACCGCCAGGAACCTTGTCCTCAGCACCAGGAACCTTGTCCTCAGCACTAGGAACCTTGTCCTCAGCACCGGGAACCTTGTGCTCACCGTCAGGAACCTTGTGCTCACCGCCAGGAACCTTGTCCTCACCGCCAGGAACCTTGTCCTCAGCGCCAGGAACCTTGTCCTCAGCACCAGGAACCTTGTCCTCAGTGCCAGGAAGCTTGTCCTCAGCGCCAGGAACCTTGTCCTCAGTGCCAGGAACCTTGTCCTCACCGCCAGGAACATTGTCCTCACCGCCAGGAACCTTGTTCTCACCGCCAGGAACATTGTCCTCAGCGCCAGGAACATTGTCCTCACCGCCAGGAACCTTGTCCTTACTGCCAGGTACCATGTCCTCAGTGTCAGGAACCTTGTCCTCACCTCCAGGAACCTTGTCCTCAGCGCCAGGAACCTTGTCCTCAGCGCCAGCAACCTTGTCCTCAGCACCAGGAACCTTGTCCTCAGCACCAGGAACCTTGTCCACAGCACTAGGAACATTGTCCTCACCGCCGGAAACCAATCCTTACTGCCGGGAACCTTGTCTTCACCGCCGGGAACCTTGTCCTCAGCGCCGGGAACCTTGTCCTCACCGCCAGGAACCTTGTCCTCACAGCCAGGAACCTTGTTCTCACCGCCAGGAACATTGTCCTCAGCGCCAGGAACATTGTTCTCACCGCCAGGAACCTTGTCCTCACCGCTAGGAACCTTGTCCTCACTGCCAGGAACCTTGTCCTCACCGCCAGGAACCTTTTCCTCACCGCCAGGTACCTTGTTCTCACCCCCAGGAACCTTGGCCCCTCTGCCAGGAACCTTGTCATCACCGCCGGGAACCTTGTCCTCACCGCCAGGAACCTTGTCCTCACCGCCAGGAACCTTGTCCTCACCGCCAGGAACCTTGTCCTCACCGCTAGGAACCTTGTCCTCACTGCCAGGAACCTTGTCCTCACCGCCAGGAACCTTTTCCTCACCGCCAGGTACCTTGTTCTCACCCCCAGGAACCTTGGCCCAGG